CATATGGGACCTGCTGTATTCTGAGGTAAAATATGTCCTCACTAACAACACATCACTTCCCCTTCAACAGAAACAAACCCAATAACACAATCATACCACACCACAAAACAGACAGATCACACCACAAGCAGAATACCACAAGGCAAAAAATGATAGGAAAAGGTGCCAGCAGTCACCCCATTACTGCCACAGATACCAGAGAGCGCTTCAGAGGATGGTGTGCAGATCCCAGGTTCACGTTTTAAAAGCTGCCTGGGGGATTATGGACCATTCACACACTTTCAGCCTTAACACACCTCATAGGTTAGTTGTGCGGATCATACGGGGGAGAGAGGGTGATCCGGGGGGGAGGAGAATTATGTCAGCTGCTTTGGTTCCTACTGCAGGGAAAAACTGCCCTTTCCCTTGGCAGAGGCTGTGGGGGGGGGGGATGTAAACCTGAAGACAGACAGGCAGATAAAGGTAGGCTGATGGTTGCCTGGAAAGGACATAGGGTTGCCAACTCCAGGTTGGAAGCTTCCAGGATATTTCAGGGATGAAGCCTGCTGAGGGTGGGGTCTGAGGAGGAGGAAGAGGGAGACCTCAGACATATACGCCATAGACCCCACCCTCCAAACAAGCTGTTGCCAATCTCCAGGTGACAGCTGGAGAGCTCTTAAAGCTCTGGTGCTAATTCAAAGTGCTGGGGATGTGTCAAGGCTCCCTCTAAGCTGTGGAGTCCTGTGAGCAAAAATTCTACTTGGTGAGCTCCTGGCATTAAAGTTGTGAGCGAGCGATTTGGCTGCTGCATGAATTAGTTTGCTCTGAAGCCCTCCTTCCTGAGCTAAGACAAACATCTGTGAGCTAAAACAAAAATCTAACTCAGCTTAGAGGGAACACTGGATGTGTTGCATTCTGGCAGGGGACGCTGTGAGTGTAGAAAACGATTTATCGACAGAGTAGTGTTTTGGAAAATCTTTAGGAATTGTTTGGTGCATTTTCCATGGGGCACCCACCCAGAGCCT